AGGTGCCCAGAGCCCTTCTCCTGTCAGGAGGTGGTGATCGTGCAGTTCCTGCGCCGGGCTGAGGGGAAGGTGCAACTGCGGAGACCCTGATCACTGTCCCGGCAGCAGCTACGGCTTTACTTAGTGAGAGAAGCGTGAACTGGTGAGTGAGAGAGGTGTGGTTTTGCCGTCTGGAAGTTACCGATTGTCTTTGAATGGCTCTCGCCTTCTCTATACGCCGGTGAGCTGAATGGGCGAAATAACTGCTTTTTTCCCGGGTTTTTTGCAGGCTTTCTTTGAGTTAACTGAGCGGTGGTGAAGTTTCCCACGGGAAACGTGGCTACTGAGCTCGGCAGCGGGGGAGAGCCAGGTGAGGTCTCTGCCAGCGGTCAGCTTCTCAGGTTGCCCACCTTCTCCTGACACACGGCCTGTCAGGGCACATTGTGCGCTGTCAAAGCACTACACTGTTAAGCATTTTTGGTTGGGTTTATGTAGATAATGGCCTGTGTTATAGCTATGATTCTCAAACTTGGTATCTTTCAGATCAGGGGCTAAGTAAGCCTCATGAAATAGATAAGACTTTGAGACCTACTCCTGATCAGGTACGTGAACTTGGGGAAGGAAGTACTAAGATTTTTTTTTTTTAATGAAGTTTTGGAACAGACATCTTTCTATACATAGACCACAGCCTCCTTCAAAGTGGCCTGGCCTTGCATTGGGTCTGTCTCACCACTCTAGAGTTGCCTGTTGTTTTTCCAAGTATAAACAACAGAATAAAACTATCATAACAGTGAAATTCTGTGTATTTAGTACACTTTCAAAAGTTTGTCATATGCAGGAGAACATATCCCTGAGACAATACTTGATTTCCCCTTTAGTAGACACTCACTATTATAGACTTACCTTTTTTCCTAAGAGATTGGTCTCTTATTGAGAGAACTTTTTGTGTTGGGTACAATAAACCTGTCTGAAGGTCTGAGCAGAAGCTAGGGTATCAGGCTTTTCATGATGCTGGGGGCATGGAAATGAACTTAGCACTTACACAAACCTCTGATTGCTCTTTGCAGAGTGAGATAATTTCCCCTCGGATCCAATTATGCTTTATACCAATTACGCTTTTTCATTTCCAGGGAAAAAAAAAAGTTGATTTTTTTTCAAATCGGGCCACCACTCAAGTATTTTTGGGCATAAACCTGAAAGTGATCATACGGGATATTGTGTATGATTACAGTACAGACAAAACAACAGCCTTGGGTTACATAAAAAAATTTAAAACTACATGCAGTTATGTGCACGTTCTGATGTGTAAAGTATACCGTTACAGAAAAATGCCCCTGGTGGTGGTGTCATGTCAGGATCCAGGATGATGGACCAAAGGTAACTGACTCCAAGTGATAAGTGGGAATAATATGAAGTACTTGAAAGAAATCATCATGTGCTTTTAAAAGTTTAAATAACCAGGTGAACCTGCTCTTATGTGAATATGTTCACAGCTCTGAACTTATCTGTAGAGTCTGTAAAAGTGTCCTGTCATAGTTGTTTTTACTGTTCTGTACATCCAGTGAACTAAATATATGACTTTTCTTCTGCAATCTGTAAAATAAAGGATGAGATATGAATGAAGGAATTCTCTAGTCTAAATTTTAAGATGATAAACAGAAGCGCATCTAGGATTGTACTGTTCTAGGTAACACTGTCTAGGTAAAACTGCTGTCTGTTGAGGTCAGGTGGCTGTTTTTAAAAGTGCTTATTTGACAGTCTTCAATTAAGAGTTGCCTATTAGTAAATTGTTTAATAATTATTGTTATTCCTGTTATAAAAATAACCTATCCTCTCTTGTTAGCTTTTAAGGTATTATCTGTCTAGACTAATACAGAATTTTCAGATAATTACTCTCAATTATAAAAAATATTAGGAAGGAAAAAAGATATTAGTAGAACTATGTTATTTTACATTGTCTTGTAGGCCACTTTACTGTTGTATGTGAAAGCACTAGTAGTCTACTCTTCCATCGTTTGGGATTCTATGTATGAAATATTAATGCTCTCTTAATGCTCATTTATAATGTCGTATGTTCTAAGTTCTGTTACAGAGGAAATACACTGTTCATGATCATACTTTAAAAGTAGTAGTTAAATTTGCTCATTTGATTCTGGTGAATGTCAAGCTTGGATATAAAGAAAGTGACTGTTCTTTAAATTAAGAATTCTTTAAAACTAGTTAATTATCAGAACGATGTTTCAGCTTTTACAAAACTTATTCTGAGCATGTTTTTCAACTTTTTAGCTTGTCTGCTCTAGTGAAGGAGTATTATGAACATTTGGAAGAAATGCAAAAGCAGCAGCAGCTTTATTGGGTATGGATGTTCCTAACATTTCAGACTGTAAATTCTTATTGTTATAGTATTGGTGTCTAGGCCATTAGATTTTGTTAATAAAGGAAAGTCTGCCTGCACCACACTTCACAAACTTGCTGGACTGCAGTCTGCTTAAAATGGATGAATGGAGAGCTTTCGATTCAAAGGTTGGGAGATTGTCCAAATTGCACAGATTACTACTGGGAGAAGTGTTGTGAAATGAAACATACATGGTTTATATCTCTAGATGTTCTGATGTGGTTGCAGGTATTTTCCCAGTTGACATTCAGATGAGGCAGCTGTTTCCCTCTTTCCTTACAGGTCTGATTTTGGCCATGCAATCCAGCTCAGTCCTGCAAATGTAGATACACCCAGCCTTCTTCGTTCTTAATTTAGATTCCAATAATTATTTAAATGTTTATTATCATGGAGACTGTGGTGGAGTGGGACTGTCCTCCTTTCAGCCACAGAAAAAACAAAATTTTTAATGCTTCATGTGATCACCAAAAAGCAAAGTAATGATATGTTTAATAATTAAAACCTGTGGCAACAGAAAGCAATTTTTACTTGTGATCTACATGCAGAAGGGATCCTCTGGTTTTGATTTAATACACTTAATTTGTTAGATCTGTCTATCGTAAGATTCTGCAAACACAGTCTTGAAGCTTGGCCGATTTCATAAGGCAGTAGAAGCACTGTGGTTTTGTTGCACTAGTTAACAAAACAGTCCATTTGACTCATGTAACTGAAGTTTCTCCTCAGTTAATTTCTAAATTGTTTTCTCAAATACTTACTGCATGAAAGATGAGAGTTATCCACTGTATCTCTAAAAGAGCTTGAGTTAATAAAGAGTTAATCTGTAAGAGCCATAAGAACTCCAAAAGGTAAGTTTAATGCTCGTAATAACTTCTGAATGCTTTAGGTATAACAGGACATGGTATATGCAGGACTTAGCAGCTCTTAAATCTAAGTAGCATCCTGTGACTTTCCTTAAAGAATTAACAAAGTTTGTGTCACCTGAATGAGTGCTTACTCTTGCACGTTTTTATGTTAGGTACAAATGAGAGAGATGAGACAAAAACTTGAACGAGTCACTCGGGAAAATGAAAGGTAAATAACTGCACTGCTGCTTTTCTTGATTTCTAAACCTTGTAAAGCTTTTTCGCTAGGACCTTGAAATCTTTTGAACTACTTAACAGCTGAAGATTTCATACGAGCTCAGTTGCTCAATGTTAGTGTCTTTAAGTGCTTAGTACAGATTACAGCACCAGGTTTAGGAGGTTTATATCTCTGAAAGAACTAGATGGTAAACTATGTCAAGTTGTCTATTGTGTTTATAGAACAGAACAATAGATTTAAATATGACTTAGAAGTAAACAGTATGTATGCATTGAAGGTATGGTGTACTTCAGTTGTTAAAAAAATCCTTGTTAAAGAAATACTTTGCTGAACTTAGTTATTTGAATTTCAGGCTGCATGCAGAGTTGAAAGAGGCTTTTGAGAAGCAACTGGATGCTCTTCCTTTCGTGTCTCTAGGAGCTGATATTCTTGGAGATGAATATATAGTGAAAAACCTTCAAGAACAACTAAAACTGGCAATTCAAGTGTGTGAGAGAAAACAGTACAAATGTTTTATTTCTCTTGTTGTGCCTTGGCAGATTAGGGGAAGCCTAATCTCTTGGTTTCATGGTTCAGAATTCTTGGTTCAGAATTCGTTTGTTCAGAGTTCCTTGAGACTATTTTGAGGCACTCTAACATTCTGTAGCTAAATAAACAAGTATTTGTACTTTCAACTTAAAGACCTGAAGGAACTTCTTTCCTAGATTAATACAAGGTTTTTTAAAATTAACTTATGCCTGTAGTATTACATAGTTGACTTCATCTTTATATAGAATTTCTGACCAGGAAATTAATGAAATATTTTGTTCAATTCAAATTTTTGTAGTAGAATAGAAATGGAAGTTAGACCTCTCTTTAGAGAATGATAGATGAAGGTAAATGTGCTATAATGAAATATTTCATGCAAACTGTTGTTCTGTAACAGGCGAAGGAGCAAGCAGTAGAGCTTTGGCAGACTGTATTACAGGAGCACGATCAACTCCAGCAGCAGTACCAGGAATACCTGACTGAAACAGGGGTTCACATAATTGAAAGTCAAAAGCATAAAGTAATTTTAGCTTATATTTTTGTTAATTTTGGAATCTTTCTGTAGAGATGATGGGGGTGTGTGTAATCAAACTGAAGGAGGGGGGTGCCTACCAGTATTTGTTAGTTATTTTCTATAATAGCTATCTAAAGGTGAATGATTAGATGTGGTCACTGATTCATTAACTAAATGCACTGTTATGATTGGAAAATTCTTTATTTCAAATAGATGGGCAGGAACTTGCAGAGGGCATTGAGTCTTAGTACATATGTATACGTGCACAAGATATTCCTGTGCATATAAATGTGTTGGAATTGCAAGGTTGGAAATATGATATTTCTTTGTCTTTTTTAATTAAGGGGTATGTCTGCTACTGTGCTTAGCAAAAATACTTATAATAACATCATAGTCTGTGTGGCACTTTAAAGGCACTACTCGTATACGTAATTATTATCAAAATATGAAAACATGAGTTTTTGAAGGAGACAATTTATAACTGAGTGAAACTCAGATACATCTTTCAGTAGCAAATCTAATTATCCAGATTAGTAGGTCAACAGCTAAAAGCAATCTAATTAAAATCTACAAAGGCATATTGAATTTCCTGCAATGTGTATACATTTTTTGGGAAATGTTTTCAGTTGACTATGAAACTCTATAATTATATGCTCTTTATGATGATAATGATTGTAACAAGCTCTGAATTTTCTTTTTAGGATCAACTGACTGGCTTTCAGCGTTTGACTCAGCAACTGCGCATAGCCAATGAGAAAAAAGAGTTGGTAAGTAAACCTTCTGAAAAATGATCTAGTAAATTGGGGGGTGGGTGTTCCTACTAGAGCCTCAAAGTATAAAAGAAAAGCAAAAAGTCCTTCATATATACCTTGTTGAAAAAGAAATTGTGCCACTCAGAGTTGCAGACCTTTCCGGGGACGGGTCAAAAATCAAGTAGTAACAGCTCTTCTTTTTTTCTGAACTCCAAACACCAGGTCAGCCTGGTTGAGAGGTTAGTTCTTAATATAATGTGAGCTCTTTCTTCAAGAAGTCAGCTTACACTTATAATTTGAGTATGTGGTGAGTACACTTCAGTCACATATTCAAGACCATCTGCACAAAGGGAAAATTTATTTTAATTATCATCTTTTATACAGGCTAGTTCTGCAACATGTTTACTGATTCTTAGTTTGGCACTGCTGGCTTCAGTGTCTTTGTTGTCAACCTTTTCAAGGATTTTTCTGAGCAATAATCTACCAGGGCTTCATCCATATACTTAGATTGTGAGACAACTTAGTCTCTAAGCTTTAGCCCAGGACTTCCCAGGATTAACAAAAACTTTTAATACTGTAAAAAAAATCAAGGTGAAATCCTGACCTGCTCTAGGTAGTCTACTGTCTTCTGTCTTTATCACTGGAACCCTTTCTCCTCAGATGTGACCTCTTGTTAAAATATTCTTGTTAAAATATAAGCCAGATTTCTTTGGTGTGAAATAGTGTAGGTATGAAGGAAAAATTATTACATTCTTTGTCATGGTGCCTCTGTTATTGAAACTTCTCTATTACCATCTTTTCCCTTTCCCTATTTTTTCTTTTCTGTTAA